AATCAAAAAATGTAACATTCAAGAACACAAGAAATAATCACATATAAAACTTACAATTTGACCAGCTGATGCCATGTAACTTACACAATTATATAGTAATAGTACAAAAGATCAAATATAGCAAAATCAAGTAATTAGGAGCTCCTTCTTGGAGAGCAGCATAAGCATGTACATGCTCGTGCGCTCAACCCAATCAGAATCAAATGATGAGTCGAAGTGGGGGCGCGGGGTTCAGCTCCCCTGCCTATTTTGAACTTATCCATATATTTGGCAGTCGTCACCTCTTATCCAGGCAGCAATGAGCTAGAATAACGACATTTCCGCGTATGCGGCTAGGTGCTGATATACATCTTATCTGGTGTATTTTTTCATGACGAAATGACATTAATACAATAACTAGGTGTACTTTCTAAATGTTTAGAATTTGAAATTATAGGGCAAATAAAAAGGAGTCTTGTCAAATTTATAAAGGGAAGATAAATGCCAATGCCCAACTATTTTTGTGTGTCTCGGAGTCCCTACACTCTCCTTTATATAGACTTTGACCCAAAGTATGATTAATCCAGTTTGATCGAAAGCCCTCCAACCAATCACAAACCTACAGATTGATATCTATTTGGTACGGTGGCATCTCTGGGTGTAGGGGCACGTGCATTTGAAGAGAGCACAGAAAGGGGGCACACAAAAAACGTAAAAGAGAGAAAAAGGAAAGGGTATAAAAGAAGAAAACTTTTGATCCCATTGAATACATGCGCCCCAATATGCGAGGCTAAATGCAGTAGAAACATAATATATATTTTTTAAAGGTAGGTCGCGGCTCTCGTAAGCAGGTTGCACGGGATCTCCTAATTCTGCACATAAATGTAGAAATAGTTTATAATTAAATGGCTCCAAATTTGACACCAAAATGTTAATTCCCATTTTTTTGCCCCCTCTTATAAGTTTCACCAGCCTCTGTGAGATACTGCACCCTCGATCGCTTTTCTCGCTTGCAAAGTCCTAAGCCGGTTGCTTTACTCAATTGCTGTGCAGTTACGTAGACTACGTTTGGTCAATGGGGGGGGGGGGGGTGCAGTTACATTGATTGCTCTAGGCGCGATACTGTTCATAAAAAGTTGTGAATCGATTTCAAGATATTTAAGAGAAAGTTTGTTTGGACAAATAGTATTAGCCTCCTTAGTTGAACATATCGCAACTAAGACAGGGCCCTGGATTCAAAAGATAGATGTGATTTAAACGCATTACCAAATTGGGATATACTGGACGGTTTTGGGTTCAGAATTTGTACCCGAACCCTCTTTTTTATTCTGTAAAATGAAAGACAGTGCAGATACTAGATTGATTGTATATGATTGTTTGATTTGTTCAAAAGCACATATTTGTTAATAAATTCTTTCTACAAAAAAAAAAATGAAAAAAGAAAGAAAAGAAGGTAATATCAAGTGGCATTCTATTATGTAAACCTCTTTTGTACCTAATTTACAAGTTTCCTCGTTTAGCCCCTTAATTACTGATTACTTTTTTTTTTACTGTTATTTATTTCATCATTCATTTATCAACCCATTTATTTTAGTTATTTAATGAGTTATTTAGTTATTCTTTTATTCAATTGTTCATTTTAGTTATTAAGTTATTTATTGACTTATTTGAATAGTTATATAGTCATCTCTTCATTCGTTCACTCATTATTTATTTATTCATATATTTCCCTATCTATTTATTTATTCATATATTTCCCTATCTATTTATTTATTTAATTAATCATTTATTCATTCATTCGTTCAGTGATTTATTCATTCATTCATTTATACATTCATTGATTAATTCATTCGTTTATTCATTCATTCATTTATTCATGCATTCGTTTATTCATGCATTCATTCATTTATTCATGCATTCATTCATTTATTCATGCATTCATATATTTGTTCATTTCCCAGGCAAAGAGTTAACTGGCTATAACGGGTTATAGTAATTAACAGAGGAAATAAGAAATACCACTGACTAGCTATAGAGGAATGAGCCAGTGAGATTTCAGTGAAAATAATAAATAAAGTAGGAAAGGCAGCTGACAGAGAGTTTGGAAAATGCGGGGGAAAAATTGGCAGAGAATTGATATCACAACAGAGCGTCATCATAATTTATGGCTTTTTTCCCCACGGATGATTACGTCATTGGAATGCGGAAGGGAAAGCCCCTGATTCATCAGCTAGTGCATTTGCATGCATCTTATCTATGCCAACACGAACATGTATAATGTACACTACGATTTTTGTATGTGATTTTGTCCCTTCGTCTAAGTTGTCATCCAATAAATACATTGCTTATGTCTTAATTTATTGTCCGAAGGGGGGGGGGGATTTGTATTCTTTATATATATATATCTTTAAATCACTAGCTCTAAAAATAAAATCCTCTTGACATTTTTATGAATATGTCGAACTATTCATTTAGCAAATTTCATTAATCATCATTTACTAATGTTTTCATTTTATTTCATTCATCCATTAGACATCATTATGATTGATGAATGAATGAATGAATGAATGAATCACTGATAGTGAGATGCGCACTCCCACAGAAGTGTATGTAGGTGTCAAGGTTTCATAATAGGGACTTTTAGATTTGCGTGGGCTGATACGTGTGACGTCCATTGAAGGCAGTGCATTAAAAGGACGTCGACCGTAGCAATCCCCATTGTGTTCGTGCGAATCTAAAAGTCCCTATTTATAGCACGCTGCAATTATGCGGCCCGATAATTTTTCCAGATCCTTAAATGAATAGAGCATGTTGTAAACGTATCCGTACGAAAAAGAAGAAGAAAAAAAATCTTGTGTATTATCCAACTAGGACTAATTGAGCTTTCATTGGTCCAAATTTTATGAAGTCACCTCCCGGGTCACCTCCTTTTTGACATCATCACTGTTGACAGCTGAAAGACATACGAAATATTGGGAAAGGTGTTGTTTTGGCGTGTCCAGTGTCAGTCATATCCTTGTGATGAGATTGGCTTAGGAGTTTATTATCCCGAAAACTGTATAATTAGGCTAAGTTTTTATGACGAATTTGTGCTCCATATCCGGATTGGTTTTAGTTATACGTCGTTGTGAAAACAATTATATGCTTAATAGTAGGAGACCAGCCTGTAGGTCCCGTGACCAATCTCTGGGAACAAAGTTTTGAAAGTGTTTTTGTGTTCCCTGATGAATACCGAACAATTTTGACTTGGGCTGCCCCCTTGAAAATCCCGGGCATTTTTGTGAGTGGTCAACATAGGTCATACAGGGTAGATCTTCAAATATATTCAAATCGTGTCGATATGCATATCAAATTACTCGTCTGGTCATGATGATTCTAAAAATGTATAGTTTGCTATACCTCCTACCTTAAATGAGGGCGCTATGGTCAAATACGTTGAAAGGTCAACACACTTTTGACTGGTGGTCCAAAATCACCAACACAATTAACCTTATCAAATTGCATATCAAATTACTCGTCTGGTCATGAGGATTCCAAAAATGTATATATTTGTATACCTCCGACCTTAAATGAGGGCGCTATGGTCAAAAAGGTCAATGCACTTTAATTAGACTGGTGGTCAAATTCACCAACACAGTTAACATTGTCCAATTCTAATGATTTTAGTGTCTAATAATATGTTTTCTGAAATATCAAATTCAACTAAGCAACATTTAGATCAAAAGTGGTTGCCATAACCTTGAAATTCCCCCCAAATCCATGGATAAGAAGTTGTTAAATTTTTGTCAACGAAAAGGCAGCCATTTTGAATGTTCATGGTCAGGGTAAGCAATTTTACTTTTGAAAGTTGTATAGTTGAATCTGCCATGTCAGAAAACATATTATTAGAAACTAAAATCATTAGAATCGGACAATGTTAACTGTGTTGGTGAATTTGACCACCAGTCTAAAGTGCATTGACCTTTTTGACCATAGCGCCCTAATTTAAGGTCGGAGGTGTAAAAATATATACATTTTTGGAATCCTCATGACCAGACAAGTAATTTGATAAGCAATTTGATAAGGTTAACTGTGTTGGTGAATTTGACCACCAGTCAAAAGTGTGTTGACCTTTCAACGTTTTTGACCATAGCGCCCTCATTTAAGGTCGGAGGTATAGCAAACTATACATTTTTAGAATCCTCATGACCAGACGAGTAATTTGATATGCATATCGACACGATTTGAATATATTTGAATTTCTACCCTGTATGACCTTTGTTGACCCCTCACAAGAATGCCCGGGATTTTTAAGGGGGCAGCCCAAGTCAAAATTGTTCGGTATTCATCAGGGCCGGGAACACAAAAACATTTTCAAACCTTTGTTCCCAGAGATTGGTCACGGGACCTCCAGGCTGGTCTCCTACTATAAGAACACTTCAGAAAATATAACAATTTAATGAAGGAAAAAATGAATTCGTAAAAACTTCTGAAACTTTTCATTTTATCCATTTTTTCTGATGAAGCCCTCAGTGTAAAAATTCAGATTGTGTCGACTAGTGATCAAGAACAAATTCAGCTCACATCGCAAACAAAATATCTTCTTAGAGAAAATAAACGAAAGAAAGGAATGCAGGGCAAAATATTAATTTTCCCTAGAAAATTGATAAATTTTGCAATGTTTAGCAACATGCAAATGATTGATTTTGCATTTTATACGACCTAGCTTGTCAAGACTTCGAATCAATCAATCCTTCATCTGAAAAAAGGAAACATTACAGCAGTTTTAATAAAATTGGGCACCTCTTTAAAAAAAAAAAAAAAAAAATTGCCATCCCTTTCTTTGAAGAGGGCATTTTTATCAATAAAATATTCATTCACTCATATACAACCTCTCTTTTGCTCTTTCTTCCTCAACCAGGAACAGTCGTAATAACAAATGCTACTACATTTTTTTTGCATATTTTTCCATTGATGTATAAATATGTACATTATTTACTACTCTGCTCTATAACAATGGCAAAAAATGACAACAATCTCAGTTTTATTTTCATGAAAATTAGTATTTATTGGCCAGATAAACTTTGCTCTTAACATTCATGATCATACTCCAAATATGGTGGCTACATGTACCACTATTTAGAATTTACATGTACTTGGACTCCTTTTTTTTTTCCTCCTAGCATTGCATTTATTCAGCATAGAGAAAACATCCTGTATATAAAAGAAAATAGCATCACATTATGTTATCATTACAGTGCATATCATTATAAGATCTACAAATTACCTGTTACAGAGTAACAAATGAGCAGAAGTGTCTTGTAATGTAAATTAGGAATTCTCACCAAAATATCTTTCGGAATAAGTTTGATTTCTTTGTCAGCTATTTCTTCCAACATACTAGAAGTTTGATAAAATTGAAAAAAGAAACAACTGGTGGGGAAATACTAACTTGCATGCAAGCTATTGCTTTCTAACCAGCTGCTTTGGGTTTTCAGCCCAAGGCCTATCAAATTGCAACTAAAATCCAAAGGAATACTTGCATGATGATAAGGACTTACTTTTGTAAAACAACCAACTGAGTACAAGCTTGATGGAAATATTAGGTTCTCACTCTTAACATATTTCTCCTGTATTTCCAGACATTTTCTAACTTGATCATATACAACAAATATATATAATCCAAGCTCTCAGATCAAAGTGAGTATGAAATAAAAAAAGATGTTAAGAATAAATTGGAAAAGTGTGCACTTGCAGGTATTTAACATGTGAAATGAGTTCATTTTGAAATTCAAGGGAGCAATTACATTTAACTTAAGTTCACTAACATTTTAAATGAAAACTGTACCTTCTGCACAGTTCAGATAAAACTGCCCCATCTACATGTACCACTATTTGTAAGGTTACATAATTATGATGGATACAAAGCACATCATTGCTATAATTTGCCGAAAATAAATGCAATTATAGATATATGTATATACAGTCAATCTACATATTAATAAGTCTCTCCTTGTCCACAGATACTTTCCACATTAATAAATGTTACAGCTTCAAAATAATTTTAGAAAAAAAAAATGTGATCCCTTGCAAGGAACAAAACCCCCAAAACAAAAATAATAAACACTTAACAAAAATAGAATAATGATAATTTGGTTGAACAAGTAACAGTCACTTAAGACAATTCAGGCAACCACACACATGATAGGTCCTTAAAAAAGTTTACACAAAAAATATGACGGACTATAGAATTTACAATCATTTATGATATACAAATGTTATGAAAAAATACTTTTTTTGTTTCAGTTATCAAAATTCAAGCTTAGGTTTGGAGCTTTGGGGCTACTAGCCATATTCACCTCGGTAATTCAAACCTAAGAAAGCTTGTGAAACAATATAATTAAAGATTAACAATAATACAGAGAATAAAGCTCTTGACCTCTAAATGGGAAATTTACATGTGATACACAAAAAGAAACTCATTAGCAACAGGAAAGAGAATGGAATACATGGAATTCACTAAAAGAATGAAAGTTATGGAAATACATACAGTTTATGACAAATGAGAGAGTAAGAGGGTAACATAGAGTTGTTATGTCTATGAAATAATATCTGTTGAAGTGATTACATCTGATTCTTTTCTCTTTTTTCAGTTCTGGCAACAGGCAGATATCTCAGTGGTATTCTAATAGAAATGTAAATATGCAATTCCATGGAATGTGTACACTAGCCAAAATTGGCAATAACTCCAGAAATATGTGTGCCATGGTGCCATATTTGGTATGAAGAGAAGAGCTCAACAATCTCTTTAATTTGAGTGGTAGATTAGTAGTCTTTAGGACACTTTATTTTGCTTTAAACTGTCATAAATAACATTAAAAAAAATGTTCTGAATATCATATCCGAATTGTCCATATGAAAAGTTTGTGAAGTATTACTCAAGTATAAACTCAAATTACATCTGCCAAATTCAATGAACTTCAATTTTCCATCCCACATTTCTAATGTTCTCAATCATTACATCAATTTGTGAAACATCCTCTACAAAGCTATTAAAAAAAAGATATGTTTTCTGTTGGTTAAAGCTATAAGTGAAGAATTATTCTCAAAAATATATATATTTACAGCAAAAACATTTGGAATTCAATGAAACAAAATTGTTAATAAGAGTGTAAACTTCAGCTTACAATGTCCTCCTACATGCTGCATCAAGAACATGTACACAACATATTCTTTTTTTTCAGCTCACAATTTGTACAAGTAATTATAAGCTTATTTGGAAATGCTTTGTCTTTCCTTTTCAATAAACAATGTAAATTTAAAGAAAAACTCTTCATCCCTCTTCTTCTTTAAAAGTGTACTAATCACAAAAAATGTTTTACTTTGTATGCTTGGATTTCTACATCGCTATACACTATACAATATTAAAGATGTGAGCTCCAAAATATTGCTTCCATGAAGAGATATTCATATACACTGTCAATTCACATAAAATTGACTTGTGATGAGACTAGTACAGTACATTACGCTAATGTCATTATAAACAATTTGAAAACGGTTTACCACCTCGTAAGATCTGAACAAGGATTTACATGTAGGTGCATGACTGCAAAGTACTTCATGCATATATGTGCTGCATTGAGGGAATGGTTAACATGAAATTGTCTACATATTTCTCATCATAAAATATTTTTCAGGACATCATAAAACAGAATGAGTACAGTGGAACCTGTGATGTGCGTGTCCCAATTCTCATTCTATTAGTTCTATTTTAGCTCTAATGTACCAAGGTTTCAATAATACAAAGCAATTTCCCCGGTCGCAAGAAATTTCATGAAAATGTCATTTCCCTACGAACAGATTACTGTACCTCATTTGAGACCTAACCGTCAGAATATCATTCACTGCTTTGTAACAAGGCTCCACTGTATTCTTAATCGGGTACGATATGGTCTGTTTGGAGCCAGAAGGGTGCTAACTCACATGCATCTACCGGTATACAGAGTTCACGCCCTTCTCGTTATGTACAGGCAATATCATGTATACCACACTCAGATATATTTCTACCACCAATGTGATGGTTGAACGATTATTATCTCTGACTAAGAATTCAAGGACATCCATCTTATAGAGTAAATAGTGAACAATGCCAGTATACTTATGTCACAATATTTTGTTTCACCTATTCTTTACGGTCACGTCGTCATCAGAACAAGCATGGCACCAACTTCCTGGTGGATTCATTACATACATGTACAGTGTGAGTACATGTGTATAGTTTCTGACAAGTTCAGCAACTACATGTATGATGCAAAATCTGAGTGAAACGGCTGAATCATGACATGTTTATTTACTGAGTACAGGTGAGAGATATCTATCAAACAATGCCATTACTCAATGCAGTTTAGGTAACACAGGGACATCAATTCCGTAAAAACATTAACCAATACTGGGTTTAAGTTTTGTCATTCTTCTCTTTCTTTATGTTTTATTAAAGGCACAGAGTAACAGTATGATGAAGCTGGGCATAAACTCAACATTGAGTTTCATGAAAAAAAATAGAGATTCACGTGCTTAATGTTAATGAAAGAAACGTAAATTAAATTCTGAATTTTTTAAAATTCAAATAAAATGTTATTCTTAATAAATATTATCATATTTTTAACTTCCAATCAGAGGAACTTGAATGTTATTATTTGATAACATGATTTTCTACTTTGGAAGGGGGGGGGGTGTACTTAAGGCTAACACCATGTTTTGTTATTTGCCACTTGTCTTTGAACATTTAGGATTCCTAAAATTGTCATCGAACAAAGTTCGAAATTAAATATGTCTGTCAAATGATAACATTATATTTGCGACCATTTCTAAAACTATTTCCTTTTTATCTGGGGACTTGGAATTTTGAAGAAAAAGACAACAACCTAGGCATAGGAAGAAATACAAGTATACAAGATGAAAAATGCATGGGATATTGGGGGCCATTGGAAAATCGCCCCAAATCCTCTCGTCATTGGAGCATTCTTAGTCTCAAAATAAGCCTTTACATTGATGCCATTCAGGTTTTAAGTCACTGTGTAAACTTGAAAAGGTCATTTGAAAGGGAAATTAAATATGAAATATCGATTAGCACCAAGTATAAAAAGAAAAGGCACAAGCAACTTATCATATTGATAAATCTCCCCAAATATGGTACCTTTGACCGTGCATTGACATTATCTAATTTTCTATGAACTTGGCTTTCTTAAAAACTATTGACTAATCATTATTATTCTTACAGTTGAAATACAGATTTTTTTCTTTACTTTACTATTAAAACATATAAATCATGAACCTGGTAACAAAAATTATGATTACAGTAAAATTTGTTTAGCCTGCAAGCAAATGTAATCATTTCTCCCTGTTATTTTTGTAATATGATCATTGATGGTATATCTTTTTTCAATCCAAAATCTTCTTACATTTTCTTTTCCCCATTATTGCAATCTATTAAAAGAAAGGACTCATATAAAATTCCAAGCACCAGTAGCTTAATGTAAATTTAGTTAAGTAGGAATATATGTTTAATGCTCAGTTGGTAGAGCAGTGGTCTTGTAATCCGGCGACCTGGGTTCGAATCCAAGGCGCTAGTGCCCTTTGGTAAGGCATTAATCCTCATTACCAGGTCTCTCGGAGAGGACCTAAAGCGATTTGTCCTATGGTCACTTACTAAAAAGCATTTATGTTTTCTTAGCAGTCAGGTAAAATAACCACCACCACTACTACTACCATGATTGCAATAATAAACTTCTGCCCAAATGCAGCATTAATTCTTAATTTGGCTTGAAGTGCTTTTTCTTTTTTAATTACTAGGTTTTCAAAAAGAATCAACAGTTTTCACTGATCCTATTTGGGTTCAAACAAGAAATATAAAAAGTGACTCGCTGAAATGGAAATAACTATGTATTCGATAAGACCTCATCAACACTTACAAAATAAGTAGCAAATTCTGATGTCATTTACAAAAAAAATATTAAAGCACATCTCATTTATAAAATTTAAGTATTATATCCCTATTACAAATACTGTACCAAAGGTAAAAAGGTTTACCTTTTGATATATTATATGTATATGATATTTATACATATGACATGGTATTGGTTATCAGAAAGAGCATTACTACACTGCTGATTTTTTTATAAAAACACATTTTACTTTAAATATCAAAATCACATTCCTCATGATTTTATTACCGGTAATCGTGAAGTGCAATTTGGAGTTAAAATGGTGATTTAAATTTCATTCCTCCCCTTTAACATGGTCAGACTTGTATCAAGATGTGATATATGTATATGAATTGAATAAACTTGAAATACTGAATAAATGATCACACTACACTGTATTTCTTATGATATCATACAAGTACATAAACAACATAATATTTGAAATGAACAAGAATAATAAAATTAAAAAATGAAATAAAACTATCAAAATTTGATACCTATGTCTGCTCTCAGTCAAATTTTGAACATCTTATTCTTGACTGTATTTTTGACATCTCAAAGCATGTAGAAATTTGATACAGAAAGACAATGAGGAATTTCTAAAAACTTCTGCATTTCTTAGTTCACCTATACATATGATCAGCAAGTGCAGTTGATTCTTCTCTTCTTTTTTTTTGCAGCGAATCAAGGCGGCCGCTTGGTCACAGCAGGCTCACGGTAAAGGCTGGCTCAAGCCCACCCCCCACAGGGCCGGGGTGGTCTTAATGCATGTGAGGATCCAACTCTTTTACGTAGTTCTTGGGGAATATACCACGTCTGGTTCCAGTGGGCGCCCTGATCTCACCCTCCCACCAGTCAGCGTGCGGCCGACCCGTTAGGGTGATCACGTCGTTCTGTTTGAAGGTCAGCTCCTGCGCGTCGTCCGATTCAAAGTTGTATAAGGCCTTGACTTGCTGTAGCTAGAAAACAAAAATAAAACAGATAAAAACAAAAATAAATTCAATTGTAATTTGTTTTGGTATCCTGATGAATAACTGTTTCATCCCTTTTTTCTAGCCATGGGCAGCCAACCCACCAGAGAAGTATTGGGCATGCTGGTCAAATTGCAAATGACATGCTATGCTAAAAGGCAATATAAAAGAAAGTTATCACTGCCATTTGTTCCCAAGAACAATCATGATGACGCACAACCAACTCTCCGAAAACAGGTTTAGACATGTACATGTACAAGATGAGGGTTTTTTTCAGAGAAAGCTAGAGTAATCGATGTGACTGAATGTGACATTATTCCATTATAACAATGTTTCTTTTAATACACCAGTGGCAAAGGAGGGATGTAGTGTAAGCAGCGATAAAGAGAAATAGCCATGTCAACCACTGTGAAACCTTGATTTGAATGTACCTCTTCAACCTACAAAAACATTATCATACAGATCATCAGACTTTTGGCAGATAAGAGCATATTATATTTCACTTCTACAGGAGGCCGATTCACACTGTAAAATTATTTTTTAAAGATGATTTAAAACAAACAAACATGGCTCTTTTAAAACTAACTAATGGAAATATCTGTAAAAACTGTTGGTGTTTGCCAATTCTTTTTTTGGGGGGTGAGCAGTGCACATGTGCCACTTGCCTCGGCCTTGCCTCGGCTGTGCATGTGATAGTGCGGACGCGACGGGAGTTACGTCAGCAAAAAATTCACTGATTTTTTTTTAGAGCGAACATTTACACTACAAAAACCACCAAAGTTTAAAAAAAAAAAACCCCTACAAAGGTGCTAGCAATTCCTAAGAAATCCAGAATGTGGAAGAAAAAAAATTTCCTTGCAGTGTAAAAAGCCGTATTGGACAAAATATTGCAAGACTTTAATAGACAAATGATCAATGTACATGTACTGATGTACGTTGTTCACACTGTAGGCTAATATAAAAATGTCATTTATTGAGTTGTTGTACTACATTGTATTATGATTCAATATTGCCAGTGCAAGGCAAGTACATTTCTTTTTTCCTGTACCCCTGTACATGTAATGTCAATTTACATTTCTCCCCATGTAGCCACATTACTTGACTTTCCTTAGAGATTTTTAAGTGTTTTTCAATAAAGTCTGGGACTTCCATTTTTTCTTCTTTGAAGTGTTTGAGTTTGAGTCTATGATAGATGGTTTAATATCAGTTACATGTAAAGAAATACATGTAAAGAAAAAATAGTTTCGGATCTTCATTGCAAAAAAAGGGTGGTGGTCACGAGACACAAAATATATAAATCCCAATTTTATATGGTAAGTTGCAATCAGTGGTATCATGTCAATGTACATTTTGGCCCGTATTCTGAAGTCGTGTCTAACTCCTGTTTAACTAAACAGTTGTCTAAGTCCTGTCGAAGTCCCGTCTAACTTTAGACACGAAGTCGTGTCTAACTTTTTTCGTATTCCGAAGTCCTGTTTAAATAAAGTTAAACACGAAGTCCTGTCTAAGTCCTGTTTAACTTTAGACAACTGCGAGGGGTTGTTTAAGTCCTGTTTAAGGGTGCGATTCTGTTGCTTTTCAATGTCGAAGGAACACTCTACTTGCTAACCCCGAACTTGCGGGGGAGAACGATGGTACATGTACGTGCATCCTCTAAAATTTCAAATACATTTCGCAGAATTTGTTCTCGCGTAGCCTAATTTTTTCTCAATAATATTAACTATTCTTATCTACTGGTGACATCTTGGAAATTACATAATCTATAATAAACCAACCATTCTGTTGGAGAAGTTTCTTTTCTGGTTCTTCCGAGCACTGAGGCACTGATAAGTAGTGTGTTTGTCAATCCAGTGTACAGTACGTGTGCACGTACGACGTACGTACACAGTACATGCATATCATGCAGTCTAGTCATTACGTCACGATCACATCACCATGGTACCAGCACGTGCACAGCTAGCTGTGCGCGTTAATTTATTTATCCGGTGCACGCAAGCATGTGCATTGGGTTTTTTGACAGAATTAACGCCTACTGGGCATGCGCAGAAGTCGTGACTAACAGTTATACAAGACCTGCGCAGAACTTAAACAGTTGTTTAGTTAAACACCACTTAGACAGGACTTAAACAGTTGTTTAGTTAGACGAGACTTAGACACGACTTCAGAATACCAAATTAAGTTAGACAGGACTTAGACAAAGTCGTGTCTAACTAAACAGTTGTTTAACTTTAGACGTGGCCAAGTTAGACACGACTTCAGAATACGGGCCTTTATCTTTAATTATCAGAAAAAGAAAAAGAAGAAAAAAACTTTTCGCACACCCACTTCCTTTCATTTGACTTTTCATGGACAAACTATGCATTCACAATCCCAGAATTCATTGTATAGCACATTGTATAGCAATATCAGAATCGTATACCGGTAGATACACAATTTATCTATTTTCTAGTCTGAGCAATATATAAAGAAATGTTGTATATATTATGAAACTTTATACAGCAGAAGGCATCTTTAAGCATTGTTTTGAATGAATACTCCATAAAGAATCAGTGGCCTGTAGTAGTCGACAAATTGTATGAATATTGTATAGCTGGCCCGCACAGTTATACAATATTTGGACAATATGAATATTGTATAACTGGGCGGGCCTAATCGTGAGGGCACACTGATGACTGGCCAGATGTCATGTCAACTGACCTATTCAAAACTAGTTTTTATTATATGACATTTCTTTATGCGATGTTGTTCTCTAGTCTGCACTCTGTATGCATGCATTTTTGTATATACAATATTTCTTTTTCTTTATTTAAAAATACTTAAAAATATAGTTGAGTTCTGGTTATGCGATTGCATTGTGAAAGAAACGGTGTGGAATCGATCAGAGAAAGGTTGATCATGAGGCATATAAGTATTGGCATATACTGCAAGGTTCTGGAGTCATCAAAATGATAAGAAATTTGGCCCAGCCTTGGTAAAATAACAAGCACTGTTCATAGAAAGATGTATACATGAATGGGACTACAAAAACATGTGGCATAAAAATCGGGCCTCATTTTTAAGCTGTTACCTGTCATATTTAGAATATAATGGGATTTGAAGAGCCATGTTTTAATTTTAGGGAACATTTTTTCTCAGATGTTCTTCCACACTTGCATTAATAACAATGATAAGGCTCACAAGTTATTTTTCACTTCTCCCCAGAACTCAACCCTCTCTTTTAATACACTTTTCATATAAATTTTCTTTAGTCTGCACAGGCTACAAGCCAACATACATGTGATCTCAAGGTAAACCTAGAGTTCTGTTCATGGAACAATTATCAAACAAAATCTATTTTTAGACTTAGTTTGTATAGATGACTAATGATCTAATATTCCTCATATTATTTGGTTGTTTAATTTTTAGATGGACAGGAAAGAAACAATGTATGGGTAGTGACAATAGAATACCGTTAGTTGTTTTTAACTTTGAACCAAGGCTCCTGCCTTTTTGTCAATATTATGTTATATAATTTGTTATCTTTTATTTAGTGTAAAATACCAAAGCTTGGTATGTAATCACAGAACATATTTACCCTAGATGTAGAATAGTGTGTAGCTTAAGTATGAATTCAATAGTTATCCATATTTATTCATTACATTCTCATTTATTGCTGTGATACTTTTGTGTGTTAGTGGTACCAGACACGATTAGCATTAAATGCTATTTTCTGGTCCCATTTATCCTTTCAATGTTAATCATTCACATTTGATTGTTATATACATGTATTGATGTACTTTTTGTTTTGGATAATAAACTTCAAACTCAAACTCAAACTCAAACAATGGTATGAAATCCATAATCCATCAATCCTCTTCATACATGTACTTCAGTACAATTAAATATTATTTTTTATCATTCTTATTGAAAATGGTCAATAATTTTGTTTTCTTTCTAACTGTTGATCAATTCTAAATTCTTATCACCGAAACTGAACATTCAAAAGGTCAATTTGTAACAGTTGATCAATTTTGTTCAAACTTGCAGGGATGATTTTTCTCACATTCTATTGAAAAAGGGTTTATTGATCAAACAAAGAATGACAAATACATGTACTGTACATGTGGGTTATTTTAGCAAATATAGCAAGCCACAGACCTCAAATACAAATCTTCTGTCTCCAGACAGATGATGTAATGATAAATGTTAAATAATGAATAAGTGTAGGTCACAGTTCTTTTAGATGTATGGTGATACAAATTTTATCCACAATACCGCCAGTTCTATTCCAAATACACATGTGCTACCTTAATAACAAATGGAGCAAATCGCAGACCTCATACATGCAGATAAACTATGACTTGCATGTTATCATAAACGTAGCATTGTCTGTGTTGAGCCAAAGGGTTGTTGACTCATGTACTGTATTCAAGTGTAACACACAGAGTTACATGTACAGGTCATGCCCTTCTAAATCTAACAAGCGACATGTTGTATTATATACCTCACTTAAGAAATCCAGCCATCTGATTGGTCGAATTGCATTCATAAACTTCAACTGTTCCTGTAAAATTCCCGGTAACCATGCTTAAAACATTTCAATATTTTTAATAACCATGGTTATTAAAAAAATAGGTCAGTCTCCATGGTTACCCCATAGGTTCAGGGCGCGACAAACCCGCTTGCCCGACGTCCCGGGGCAACCAAATTGAGCCGTCGGGCAAGTAAATCAAATTATCACTTGCCCGATTCGGGCAAGTGATACTTTTACAGTAATTTCCTAGTGTCCAAGAACTCTACCATTCACCCGTCAACTTCTTACCCGTCGTCAAAATCCAGAAGCAAAAAAGCGATCGTTCCGATTTCGAAAAAACTTCACAGACAGCTAGCCAGCTCAGCTAGCTCAGCGCGCATGCAACAGTGACACTTCAAGCCATGAATGCCGCTCCGCCTCCACGCACGGCCGGCCGTGAGCTAGCTAGAGACAGCTAGCGCGATCGTACCAGCTG